ATCTTTACCCGCATTTTGAAGACTTATGACCACCTCGGGTTCATGGAATTTTTCCATTACTTGCAACTTTATACTGTAATTGACACTAACACCAGAGAAAGGTAAAGTGACATTATATCAACGAATGATTCTTTTAGGGAATCTTTTCATATTAAGTGTGATATTTTATAAAAGAGATGAATATGCTAATTAATTTGAATAAATAAAAGTATATGTTATTTTTTTAAATGGGAGATCATGTATGATTTGAACAAATTTAATCGTCGATGTAAATAATCTAAATCATTGGATATTTAGAGGCTCAACTATAAATAGAAGTTTTTTTTATCTCTTTAGGACAAGAAAAAGAGAGGAAAACGAGAGAGAACGGAGAAAAAAAAGAGGAAAAAGAAAAAAGAATTACTTATTGTGGTTCAAAGAAATTAAATAATAGAAGTGAGTTTTGTTTAAAGTTAATTCCTTTTTATTTTATTTTATTTTTATTGTTGTATGTGTTGTTTCGATCGACATTGATCTTACTTTTTTTTAAAAAAATTTATCGGATGAGAGAAAACCGATGAACAAGGAAAATACTTTTAAATAAATTTATATAAATCTAACATTCCTTAAGATTTCTCCAAGAAAACTGATAATTTGCTTTTATATTTATTTGTTATTATTATTATTTACTGTTTTGTTTATAGTTTTGTATTACTTTTGTTTGAAAATCTCATTTGGATGAGATAAAATCGATGAACAAAGAAAATAGCTTTTCAATGATTCATATATTTAGGTTTTGAGGTCTCTCGATGAAAAATCGAGAGTAGATTTGAGTGAGAAAATATTTTTGAAAGGAAGAACATGAATTGAAATTTCAAATTTTTTAGATTTTATATTCAATTAAATGACCCGATGACTCATTTCGTATTCCTATGAGATCCACTTGTTTTACATAGGTTGGAGATAATTATTTCCATGTTCCTTTCCTTTTTCCTTTAAAATTTCAATTTGATCTTTTTATTTTACTAATTTTACTCCGATTCCTTTTAAATAGACTTCCAATTCTAGTTTAACTCATTTTGGCATTTTTTTAATATGTAAACTCTTTGTTTTAATTATTTTTCTTTCTTTAATCTAACATTAGTTAGTGTTGATTTTTTAAGTTTTTCCTTAATTTGATTGTGTTTTAAATTGTTTTTTTGTTCTTTCCTTTATTTTGTTTTTTTTAAATTGATTTCTTTTTTTATGTTAGATTTGTTTTTGTGGTTTAAATAAAATTTTATTTTATTTTAATTTTTTTCCTTTTTAATTTAATATTCTAATTTTATTTTAATTTTCTTTCCTTTTTAATTTAATATTCTAAAAGTTTCTTTTATTATTGATCATTTTCTTTAATTTTTATTTCTTTATATTTACAATCCATTTATTTATTTATTGAGTATTTTGTATTTATTCTCGCATGTCCTTTAAAATATGTTATTAAATTATTTTGACATATGTGATTGTATTATTCTTTTTATTTTGGTACCTGTGACATTTTTCTTATTTTTGCAAATTAGACTCAATTTTTTATTTTATTTTTTATATCCTAATTCATTTATTTTATTGTAACAAATCCTTAAAGCTAAGTAATTTAGATCTTTCTTTAAATTTTGGCTCAAATTTTAATTTTCTTTATTAAGACAACTCGTGACTGTGTTGGTACTGAAAGGGCGATGTGGGGTGTTCATCCTTCCCCATACGTTTCAACTCCCAAACCCTTCCAAGTGAATCTTTGGTAAGAGGTAAAATTTAGGTATCCGACCTTATCTAATCCAAAAAGGTTGGTGACAACTCCAAAAGACAATTATTCATTTCAAGTCGAGATACGAATCCGAGAGCACCCGAATGACCGTTATGACAATTACCTACTCATGTTTTGCCTTATATTGCTAGCATCAAGTGTCTATTCTAGGGGATTATCCATATACTTGCAAATGGCGTTGGCAGGACCAATTTTCCATTGGTAGTGCTTACAAAACAATTATGGAGCCAAAATGGGATTCCCAATCTAACGTCTGGAAGACGATGTGGTAGCTCCCCGTTCCTCAAAGATTTCGGATGTTTATACGGCTAGCATTCAAAGAGAAACTACTAACCAATGCCGAACGCTTGCGCCGATCCATTGCGAATTCCGGCATATGTCTGAATTGTAGGGCTGATAATAAAACAATAATCCACACACTCCGTGATTGTCGTCTTGCTTGCGATGTTTGGAAGCTTATTTTGCCTAGGTGTACCCTCTCGGATTTTTACACTCTGGACCTCAAGGATTGGATCTTGAGAAACATCACCTCCTCTAAATCCTACACTCCTTCTGCCATCAGCTGGAACTTTTTCTTTGCTGCTACATGTTGATTTATTTGGAAGGCACGTAATGACCATATCTTTGCTAGCAATCCCCAAGACCCTTCTAGTGTTGCTCACCATGGCTTAATCTGGCCCAAGCATTATGATTCTTGCAGGCTTCTTGGCAATATGCAGATTTCCCCTCTTCAAACCACCATGGAAATTCGATGGCATCCCCCTCCTCGACATTGGGTTGCTCTTAAAACTGATGGTTCTGTCTGTCCGAACACTAATAGTGCCTCTATCGGCGGTTTCTTGCATGACAGTGCTGGCAATTGGATTTGTGGATTCACTTGTGCGATCAAAACTTCGACTGCTCTCCAAACTGAATTTTGGGCAATTCATGATGGCCTTTATCTTGCCTGGCAACTTGGATTCAGATTTGTGCAAATTCAATCCGATGCTATATCGGTCATCAAGTACCCTGCTGCTGCTTCTCCCGGTTGCATCAACGGCATTGGAATCTCGACTTTACTTGAATTCACAGAGAGGAGAACTCCCCTGCTGATGCTTTGGCAAAGAACGCTCCCCAAACTGTTCTCGACATGCTTCAGCTGACGTCGGCCCCGACCTACATTTAACATCTCCTGTGTCGAGACGTTGATGGCCCTCCCTGTTGTAAAACTAGACATGTCTTAGCTTCCTTTATTACTCAAAAAAAATATTTTTGAAAATTGATTTTATAAAATTAAGTTTAGAATTTTAATAGTCCGTTTTATTTCATTTTCATTTTCGTTTTCTTAGAAAATAGAAAACTATGAAGAAAACATGTTCTCTTGTAAATTTAGAAAATGATTTTTAAAAAGCAAAAACAAAATAAGTGAAAATATGAAAACATAAAAAAATGTTTTCAATATTTTCATTAAAAATATTTTAAAATTTGACAAATAAAAAATGTGGGATATATATTCTTAATTTAACTCATGTGAATTCAAATCCTTCTAACAATAATATTTTAACTTAATGATATATCATATCCTCATATTTTTGCAAAAAACTCAATTTGTTCCGAAATTTTACACTCAATTTGATCCTTAAATTGAATTTTTAAAATAATTTAATTATATATTACTTTTATATTTAATGTATTGAATATATTAATAATTTTATATTTTATATTTAAATAATTTCTTATTTTTAAAAAATAAATAAGTCATTGACTTTCTAAAAAATCAATTATGCCCTCGAACTTAGTCAAAAAATCAATTAAGGTCATCTACTACATCATTATCCATTGTGTACTATCACAACAATATCCTAAACTGTCACATCAATATTGTAGATTATCATGTGAGTTTTGTGAATCGTCATGTAAGCTCGTAACATTCAACATTTGATTATGTTGGTCAAAGAGTTGAATTGCTTTTTTTTTCTCAGTCTAAATGTCATATTGAGTGCAAAAAACGTTAAGGGCTACACTATTTCCCCCCAAAAGTTTGAGTCTTAATTTCCACTAAACATATTTTTTTTATTTTAATGACATTGTTGTGTGCTCTTGCTTACAACAATATTTTTTGTGTATACTTTAAATTTAATTAAGGCATAATATGCATCAATATTTGTGTTAATAGTGCGAATTTAAGAAGTTATATTAAAAGTTTAAAGGATGCGGAGTTATAAAATTTTATGAGGTGTCAAATTATATAATTAGTAAAAAAAATACAAATAAAAAATCTAAATATAAATTATTTTTGAAAATTCTAAGGATGTGGCAGTATCCCCTCGGTTCATCCTTACTTTCGGTCCAATAAAACCTCAATAGAAATAAATCTCGAACAATTGGCTATTGTAACGCTAACTCAATATATTTCAAAAGGGGGAATATATTATCAGAAAGAAATTGCATTTTTCTCCATATTACCCAATTATAACTCAAATGAATGGTTTTTCCTTTTAAAAATACAGTTAAATGTCAACGATCTCTATAATAAATTGTTAAAATCTCTCCGTTTATACCTCATTTCTCCTCTGGATTATAAGTTCAATACCTATTATGAGTAAAATTCCTCCACTCACTTCTTTTAGATAGGAATTGTTAAAAAAAATACAATTAAATTGAACCATTCAAGTGATATCCTTACAGGGAAAACACATGTTATAGGTGGGAGGGGCAATTGCTCCCCTAAGCTATCATGGTCTAATGACCTCTTAAACCATTGGTAGTTTTGAAATCATTGTAATTAAGTCCTTATTCCTCTCAAAATATTTTGATATAGTTGTTTTAGGACACTGTCAATTTTAAAATCAATGGAATTAACCCTTAGTCCTAATTTTTCCTGGTTTAATTACATTTTATAACCTTTGAATTTTAAAATTAATGAAATTAAACTCTTAATCTCTTAATTTTCATGGTTTAATTATTTTTAGGACCCTGTTTGTTTTAAAGTTAAATTACAATTTGTCCCTCATAACTCAATATTAACTCCGTACTACCTCTTAAGTTCAAATAATTACATGTATATTGTCAATGATTAAAATATCACACATATAATACCTTATTCGATATTATTCTTAAAAAAAACACACAATTAAAGAGAAGCGTTGTTTACCAAAATCGCACAAATATTTTCTCTCGAGAAAAGAGAACGAAAACCACCTTGAATCATCATCATCATCATCATCATCATGTCTTGAAATCAAAACAAGTCAGTTAATAATTCATCCACCAGCCAACTGAATAGCACAAGCTCTACAGCTGATCCCACATCTTGGTTTTCTTCATTCAAGTTTCTCCAATTTTCATTTCTTTCCATTTCTTTCAGATATGTTTTTCTGCCTTCCCCCATCTCCCATCCTACAAACATATCCTCACCATTCCCATTAACCCCAAAATCTTCCAACCCCTTCTCCCTAAATAAATCCAACAACAGCTTATCATCCATCTCCGATGGGATTCTCACTTTCAATGCCTTAAGTAGTTTCTCATCTGCTTCCAGGGATTCAAGCGGTGATGGTTCGTCTTCAAGCTCAGTCATTGCGATTCGTTTCTCTAAGTCCACTGGCTCAAGCTGAGCCAAGCCCTCCATCCTTCGGACCTTTTGCTTTTGCATGAACTTCTGTTTTGTTCCTGCTGTTTAACCACCAATGTACGTAGCTGGTGTTAATCAATGATCGTAATATCATATATGAAAAGAAATAAAGATGATAAGAACCTCCCGCGTGGAGCGAGCCATCTTCAAAATGAGAGTTGTCATCTTCATCATCGAAGGGGCAATCTAGAACAGATACTGGACTAAACAGTTCCTTTCTTTCCTCCTTTGGCCAATCCTGTTCTTGTTGTCAGTTGGTTGAATTATCAGTTCAACTCTAATATTCAATGAGTTTTAGGGGACAAACTTATATTTTATATCATCATCTTGTAAAAATATATATTCTAATATAATAAATGTCATACAAACAACACATAATTTTATGTTAGGGATCAACTTAAAAGTTTTAGAGACGAAATCATATAATCAATTAAAAAAATTCAAGAAATACTACCCAACCATCCTCTTTCAATCTATCAAATGTTATATGCACCGGTAACGATCAAATCATATAATGATGTAACTTTTAACAATATAGTTGTTGTAATAGAAAAATACACTAAAATAATTTAAAATAAACTAAATCAATTAGGGTTAGGTAATCTCACTAATTTGTCAACAACATAAGCATCTACCTACCCCTTTATTTTAATGTTCCCAACCTTAACAAAAAAGCTAACTAAAATAAGTATATCTTTAACTAATCAAGTGATGTCATTAGAAAAAAAATAAATTATTTTTCTAAAAGTATTAAATTCGAGCTATTACGTCTACAATGTGATTATATTATCAATTGATTTAAAAAATTATGAACAAATACTATTTTATAATCACCTCAAACTATTTAAAATAGTATAGCCTACCACAACATTACAGGACAGCTGAGCTGCCAATTCTCCTTTGTTGGATAAGTAACCTAATTCCAATCTCAAATTAAAAGCACCCACCAACAACTGCCATCTCTATTGTTCCAATATATTAATTATAATGAAATGATAGTCGAAAAAATATTATCATACTCTTTTTCTAAATATTTAAGTTTTAATTTAATTAAGTGATTGATTTAGAACAAAAATTTGATGAAGAATAGTCGAATGTACTAACTACATAATTTTTTTTATAGAAGATGAACATATATTTTTTTAAAATATACAAATCAATCAAATAAATAATTATTAAATAAATTTAAATATGTATCTATTCTAAATCTTAATAAATCCTAAATTTCAGTTGATTACGTATATCCTAACGTTCTTTTTACCTTTGTAACGTTGATGGAATCATCACCGACTGTAACGCCTACTACGTTGCTGACTCTTTGCTTATGGGGTAAACTTGTTTCGCCCTCTACGGTGTCGTTTTCGCTCGAGCTCTCCGAATTACCGCTCCAAGACTGTGAAACATCCGTAGAAAATTCACTCTTGGTCTCACCCCAGCTGTTACTGCTTGCGTTCGAGGAGACCCTACTGGCAGTCATGGTCGTAGCGGAGATGTCGGTGGTGACGACGACGTCGGTATTTGTATTCTGATCGGACGGTTGATTTTTCTCTTCAAGAAATTCACGGAACAACTTGCATCGTCCGATCTCACCACCATCGTTTTCCTGTCGGCTTTTCTCCAAAAGCTTCTTTTAAAGAGCTTCCTTGAGAAACTCCTGGTGAAGTGTGATTTATCCGAACTGTTCCTTTTCAACGACGAAGAAGATGAGTTGATGGAAGGAAAAGGGAGTAGCTTGACGGCTTTAAGAACGGAATGTGAAGCTCTTTGCACAGCTGAAATGGTGGTGGTGGTCGTAGTGGTGGAGTAAATGACTTTGGATTTCTTCAACTCGGCCTCCAGAAGAAACCTGACGGTGGTGCAACAATGTTGACGAGGAAACAATTTGAAACCATTAGAAGAGCACGAGCTCAGATCGTCTCTCAGCAGGTAGTCTTTGAGCATCAATGGTTTCTTCTCGAACGAAGTCGTTTTCTGAATATGACCAGTGGTAATACTGATCAAATCCATGTTTATTGATGGAAAAAAATTCAGGGTTTTGAACAAAAAGGGTAAACGTATTACTTACAGCTGTAAGCAATGGTGGTTATGAACCTGAAGGAGATAAGATGACATTTAAATTGACTCAGAAATGATCAGTACATAAAGGCTTTAGCAGAAAGAGTATCAGCTTTTAGTACAACAAATGAACACAGAAAATGAAAAAGTTGCAGGGAGAAAGATTATAGAGGAAGGAAAATCTCTAGGATAAGATTTTTAAAGGAAAGATAAGCTTCTTCTTCTTCTTATTTTTTTATAAGCTTCATCTTCTTCTTCTTGTTGTTGTTTGTTAGCGATCCAGTTTTTGAATCTTAAGTCTTCATATTTTAATGGGTTTTTTGAATGGGTGAATTAAATGCATGTAAAAGTTTTTCTTTTTAGGGTAAAGTATACCAATGATCCCTTGGCTATATGATATTGTTTTGTTAAGTCCTCTCACTATTATAAGTTATAAAATGATCCTCTAATTATAGGATGTTTTGTTGAGTTCTTCAACTACTAAATGTTATAAAATGGTCACCCGATTATTCACATGTTCCAATCTTGTCATTTCTCGTTAAAAAATTGATATAGCCTGAACTGGACATTAACTCGTTGACTAAGACATGATAAAATCATATTTTAATGATCTCTACTGGTACTATCGTTACTTTCAAGCACTGACTCGACTTCATGATATTTCAAGTATTGGCTCAACGACATAATATAAACAGAGAGTCGATCTACAAAATACAATTCAAATAGTTTAGATTAGATTTTATCATATCTCAATCAATAGGTTAATGTCTACTCAAATGACAACCAATTTTTAACATAAAATGAAGAGTTTATAACATATGAATAGCCGAGTGACCATTTTATAATTTTTAATAGTGAGACTCAATAAAACAACATCCTATAGTTAGAGGACTATTTTGTAACTTTTAATAATTAAGAGACTTTATAAAGTAACTCCTATAACCGGAATACCATTTGTATAGTTTACCCTTCTTTTTAATAATCGTGCTATTATATTGAAGGTGAAAGATGAGAGAAAAGTTATGAGAGACCTGTAGTTGACCTTCCACAAATCTTTTACCATGCATGCAGCGATACTTGAGGAAAGCATTCACGTGCTTGGTCACTTGTGTCTGTCCTTACGCATTTGGTTCTCCTTTTTCCTAAACAAAAATGATTCAAATATATTTTATAATTATTTTTCAAAATATATTTGTTTATGATTTGAAAACCTAGATCTTATAATGTAAGTTTTTCATTAAAAAAATATTTTAAATTGTACGTAGCAGTGGTCTTATTTCTTTAATTACAACAATTAATGTCAGGATTGAGTTTTGAAAATGTTTTGAAACTTAAGATCTCATTGACAAACCGTGGCTCATACATCCTATTTAAATACTGATAAAACTTGTGATTAGTTTACTAAAGAATCATGCTTCTCTTCATATTTTTTTAGTTTTAAAAAATAAGTTTCAATTGGTTTTAGTGGTAAAAGAGAAGATTATCGTCCCTAAAGATCTCGGGTTCGCGCATATGCATTATCAATATGTTAATAATTCTAAACATATATTATCTTATAAATATCTCATTCTACTCAAAAGGGAAAAAATTGTTATAAAATTATTTTTGAATTTTATGGCATTCACATTGTTATATAAAAATAATGTAAAACCACTAATCAATGTTAAAAAGATTAAATGCACATTCTTAAAAATTTAAGGTTTTTTTTTAATTTAACCACTTATTTAGTTTGAGATATTTTAAGGCACATTTGGGAAGTTATTATATAATTGGATGCATTTATTTATATAATTAGGCTTTTCAATTTTATAATTAATATTATTTTAAAATTTAAATTCATAACATGTTTACAAATCTATCTTGTAATTGGATTTGAGTATAATTATACAGTTGTGACTTGTTCGAAAAATTACCGTAATTTGTGGGTCTTGTTGAATTGGAAGTAATTGGAAGCCTCCAATTGCACTATTCAATTCTTAGGGTTGAAAGATGATGTAATTATGCAGATAACTATTCTTTAATTTTATAGTTAATATTATTTTAAAATTAAAATTTATATAATTATATAATTACAATTTGTACTACTAAACATGGCATAAAAAAATAAGATGTATTACATTATGTCAATCAAACGTGTAAAAAAGTGAGAATTTATTATAATTACACTCCCATATAATTATTAAAATAATAATTATAGTTTTTATAATTATATAAGAGTACCCATCCATTTCCCTAATATTATAATTTGAACCATTTAAGTTGAAATATTTTTTATGATAACGGAAATCACTAGTTTTATTAAAAAAAATATCTAACATTACAATGAATATATAATTATGACATATTTATATATCCATTAACACAAAATATTAGTCACTTAAAATCATATAAGACCATACAAAGAAAATGTTAAGAAAACCATCTAAAAACTCGAACAAAATATATATACAAATAGATCTGATTGCAAACCACAACATGATATCAAACTATTGTAAGACCATCGACAATCATAAATCAACGTCGAGCATTGTGATAAAACTATCTCCAAACGTAAATCGCGTATCCAAATCTAACCCGAGGATTCAAAACATGGAAGATCAAAATGATAACAAATAAATACAATCTTGATCAGTTAAAGTGTCGTCAAATTCAATCATAAAAAATTAAACGAAGAAAAAAATCAAACGACCGAAAGCATGCAAAATGACATAAGGAAGTGTAATATAAAGACAAACAAAAACGTGTTCATAGACAGTTTTATTAGAAATTGGAAAAATATTAACTTATATAAATAATAAATAAATCATAAACAAATTATTTTATCATATGCTCAAGCGCATATATTCCGAAGGGATGTTTTACCATCATTTCATTTCAATTGACAAGCTAATGTACAATGAATTCAATCCAGAATATAAAATTTTACGTATCAATTTAACCATACCACAAACCAAACGTAGTCATTCCATATAAAAGATGATCAATCAATCAATTAACTGTCCCCTATATTAGTGAAGGGGTATGGGCTCGAGCACACCTCACAAATATTAGGGTTGTAAATTAGCTGAGTCGAGTTTGAGTATTTTTGAGATCGATTCGATTCAAAAAGTATAGAATTGAACTCGATTCGACTAAAAAAATTCACAAGTTTGAAATTGTCAAGCTCGACTCAAACTCGAAATAAAAAATTGAAGCT